ACTACTACTACTACTACTCCCACTCTGATGACTATGACGAGGAGGACGTTTAGCAGTAGCACGACGGGTAGGAGGAGGAGGAGGAGCAGCACTAGCACCAGTAATAAAATTGCGAGTATGAGTAAGGGTTGTGGTTGTCGTGCCAGTGGGCGGAAACAAAAGTAAAAAACATACCAACCATACACTGTTGTTCTGTACTATATCAACGTCCATACTCTTTTACCCAAGGTCACCGAAAGCTGAGTCTTTGGGTGGGAGCTCAGACATAATTCAGACTTGACCTGAAGAAGGATTGACACCAGGCTTGTCTTGAGGCTGGAGCCGATCCCCACGCAATTTCATACTGGGCACAGCAGGCCATGCTGTGGCTTCTTGCGCAAGCACAAAAGATTGCAATAAATACCCTTCCCTCCGAAAGCAGACAGCAAATGTCTTGTCCCATGAGCCTGGACCACTTGGCCTTACCCACCTGGTGCCAACATGTGCCAACTCCAAACGATTCAATTCAAGGCATTTCATGATTCTGAACCGGTCTGACCTACAACCGGTTCCCCACTTCGCCGTATTTCGCCGCGCCGCGTATCGAAGAAAAGAATGCCCCCAATGGCGGCTATGAGCCAGCAGTAGGTTATCCTTGGAAAGGCATTGCAAGTTGGGATGAACCTCATCGGCACTTGTAACTGCTGTCAACGCGTAACCAACTCTGGAACCATTTGACCGCATGTATCAGCCACATACCTCTCGAGAATGGGGGCTGCTTCTAAGCGTTAACTCCAGCTAAGGCGCCACTGCAGGCCCCCTGTGCGTGCCTCGCGCCCACGGCTGCCATGAAGCGCGGTGCTGCATAGGTGAAATAACCTGAAGGATCAAAGCATCCACCATCCCATCTTTAGATACCTTTTAGATATTGTTGGCAGAGGGCCCAGGAATATCTTCCTTTGGACGCCTATTGGGCACCTACAGTAGGTGATTGTTAAGGACACCAACGCAATTTCAGAGCCGTCTCAGCATCAGATTCGCCTGGCTATATAGCCTACAAAACTGTCAGAACTCCATCACAAGCCCCGTGATGCGCAGTAGGACTAGACAAGACAGTGGCTCAACTTGGTGCTAAAACACAACATGTTTGTCGATGAGTTGCCGTCTTCCACGCTCCATCAGATTCAACTACCGCACTACTTGCCAGACAACAGTTTTGCCACGCAAGCTTAGCTGGGGTGGTTATGGGATGGAGACTTGGGCAGCCATATTCATCTTACCACCAAGCGGCAACGCCATCTGAATGAGCAGCAGTATCCAAATCCACTCCTGAGCAAACGCACAGGCTGCTGAAGCGTCACCCGGCCGTTCAGAGTTTGCTAGGTCGGATGTGCATCCGCGCAATGTCAATTCTTTTTATGAGAGAAATCCCTTGCAACACCTACTACAAATTGAAGTTCAACAGAGCTTCTTAGAATCAGGTATCCTCAGATGCATGCACCTCTAAGTTTCTTGGCGGTTGTCTTGCCTGGCATGCAGCTTGGGCACCAAGGCTGCCCAAGAGTGCTGCTGGAGCATCACCTGGCGTTGAATCTAAATTATGGTTGCTTGGGGGATCGTGAGAATGAGGACTCCATCAGGTTTTGGCCATATACAGGCGCCCTAATCCTTTGAGCAGAAAAGGCGCATTTGCATGGGGGCTTGATTGCTGTCCAACCGTGCGAGGCAATTCAATCTGATAAGTGCATGTTAATCAAATCTCGCATGCGTTCCATAGGCCAGGCTTGATGGCTATAGAGCTGGCCCGGACGGCTGGTGACATTGCTCGCATCGTGGCTTGATTTGCTGCAGCAGTAGCTGTCACACTTGCTCTAATTGCGTTCGCCGATGACTTGTGTTTCTATGCGTTTCTCCCCGGTCTTGCAGCTGTGGGAACACTTAGACATTAACATGTCATAGCTTTCATCAAGCAGATCATCATGTCTCTGCAACTTATGCTGCATCTTTCAAGGACGCCCAAGGAGCATTGTCCAGCAGCATCATCTGGGCAACCAAGATAACCTGAAGCGCTGGTAACCGGCTTTTCGAACAAAGGTTGCGTTCGGCTATTGCGCAGCCCATCATATAGCAACATCACGGCTGACAATCGGCAACAGCACCGAAGCAAGCGCAACGGCTTTCTCCGTTGCGGACCAAGCCGCCGGAAGCAGAATGTTGGCGATGGCAAAGACAATCTTCAGCAGGACGAGACCAAACTGGGCATCGCATCTTGGGAGTTCTGCTTGGGTACGCTCACTCTCTTATACTTTGTTGAACTTCTCGTGGCTGGCATCTAGCAATCTCAAGATCTGTCCCCTCTGTTCAATACTGAGCAAAACTTTGTTCTGGGGCCCCTCGCCACGGAGCATAGCCAACTCAGACGGTTGTTGCTCTGCGGGTGCCTTGGAAGTAAACACTTTTGTCGTATATCCACTGGCCAAATGCTTGCTGAGCAATGAAGAGGGAAACAAACAGCCTTTCGGCCTGATGCAGATTTCATGCTCAACGCATTGGCGTAATCAAGTGTGACAGGCAACGTGCTGACGACATCTCATGTGTCAACCTATGTGGTCCGGTACCTCCTCCTTTGCAAGCAAACTCACCTGGCAATTTTCCGAACCTTCCCGAATCATTGGCCACATCGGTGAGACAGTCAGGATGAGATAAGCGCCCTCGCTTCTAGGCCCTTACCTTGGTGTGAAGCCATCATTTTGCATCCCAGCACCAAGAGCCTGCGCAACTTAAAGTTGGGACTTGCTGAACCTCAAAGTCCGAGCCGCGCCCTCTGACGAGCGTTGCCGACCTGGCGAATGCGAGATGCAGGGCTCTTATGGGCTTCGTATTTCCGCAATAAAGTTCTTGGGGTTTGGGAGTGCGGGTTCGAGGAAGTTGCACTGGTTCTTACCGTAGACTCGCATGCTTGTGAGAAGGTTGCAGAGTCTTCAGACTTCCCCTTCCTGGGGCTGCCATTTGCAAAGCCAATTGTGGGAGAATCCTCACGCTTCCCAATCAGCGCACAAACCCAAAGCATTTCCTTTGGCTTCTGTTGCAGTGATTCCTTTTGCAGTCACGAGCCACAGCTGTGAGCCATCCTGTGACATAGCTGGCGCCTCATGAGATTCATCTGTATGGCTCTTGACCTCTACGCATTCACTCCGGTGAAGCCGAGCCCACAGAGAAGACCCATGATCATAGGTAGTTGACATAGCTTTCTTCAATCAACCCTGCACTCCAAACTCCCATGCCCCGAAGAGAAGCCTCCTCCAAGTGGCTTGTCGCAGGCGTGGATGGCACCGTTTCTGCCATCGCGAGGTCAGAGGCGAAGGATGAGCCAAAGAAAACTCAGGGCTGAAAATCGTAGGGTGAGGCCGCTTGGCATAGCAGTATGTGAGGGTTCAGCGGTTTTGCCACGTACTTCAAGCTCAGCAATTGCCACGGGATGCTCAGGCTCAGCCTGAGCAGAGCCCACATAGCTGAAGCGCAAGTTGGGCTGCGATGGGTTTGAGATTCCGCAACCACAGAGGGGCTGAAATGGATGGTGTGCTTCGGGGACGCGCCCCATAAATGCCATTTTCGGGAATGCAGCATCTGTAAGAATCTACTTCAAAAAGGCTGCGCGGCGCTGGCTTCACAAACTTATATAACATCATGGTCAGGGTTTGCCAACATGCTCACCGCATTCTCTATGTAGCCTTCTGCAAAATGCACATGACACAGCCTGGCAAGAAATGAGGATCAAGATAGAGTACCATAGAAAACCCCGACGAGCACGTGCGTATGACTCGGCAGTGGCACTTTCGGAGATCATTCCGCACCCATATTACCTTCAAAAAGCAACAAGGAGCAAGGCTTTGGGTGTCGTGTCTGCCTCCTGTACCTCTTCCAGGGCGCTCTTCACCTCAGCCGCGCAGGAATTCTCCATGCAAACAACAAGCCTGCTTATTCAGAGCAGCGCGGATGCAAAACGAGCCGGACATCTTTTGCGCAGGCTGTCGAGTGTTGCCCGAAGGCCCCTATATAACCCAATAATATTAGTGTTTCCATGCCTTCATTCCCTGCTGACACAGGGTAAAGCGCCTTAGCCTTCATAAACCACCAACAATCCCGCTCTCTCCATCCCATTTTCCATTGTTTTCTCCATTTGATTCTCCGTTTAGAAAATCCCTGTCTATCCCAATCTAATGCCAGCAAAATGCCCGTTTGTGTGTCTCACACGGCCCCTGTGCAGGTACAACCCCTCGGGCAACACTCGATCAGCATGCATCAACAAATCTGTCCGGCTTGTCTGTCATATTCTGGCCCCCACCACCTGCGGACCCCCCATCCATGGTTCTTCTTTTGAATGAGCCAGGTTCTATGAATGTCTGGGAATGAATGTCGGTCATATATTTTGCAGGCTTGCGTTGCTACTTGACCTACACGCCGATCTCAGAAGAACCAAAGCAGGACCTGGAATATTTTCAGCAGGCTTCGTTTTGCCGACAGCTTGCTCGGAGGTAGCAGCGTGCAGACTTGGAGTTGAGGGCAAAACGGAAGCCTGCCGAAAATATTCCAGGTCCTGCTTTGGTTCTTCTGAGATCGGCGTGTAGGTCAAGTAGCAATTCAGTCCGCTGTGCTTGCCGGAAGAAATCGGCGTGTAGGCTTACCCATGCTGTCCCCTGTGCTTGCCAGAATGCTACTCTGAGATTGCCTGAACATCTGCACGCCAATCTTTCAACGCAAACCTGCAAAATCATGACCAAACCTGGCTCATTCCAAGAAGAACCGAACCATGCATCGATGGAGGGTCCACAGATGGGGGGGGGGGCGGGGGGTGGGGAGGCGGACCTGAAGATCAGGCGGGCCCCCACCACGTCACCCGCTTTGCGGTCGGAGGGGAGGTCACACCTTTTGTTCTCCGACATATCTATACCAAGTGGTTCCATAGGCCAGGAGGCTATGTTGGTAAACAGAAGCTCTCTGAAGCTCTCGCAAGCTCGAAGGAGCAGGCTTTCGTGATCATACCGCATCCCTACACAGACCCCGGTTGCCTGGTCAAGCTACTGTCGCACATCATATCTGGGTCAAGGGCTGGGCTAGTCCCTGAAAGGCGCAGGATGCTGTCAAATAAAGGCACGCTCAGAAACTAGAAAGCTCCGTCCAGAAACTGCCACAACCTGTGATGTGCTTCGGGAAGGCGCGCAAATTGGAAACAAACCCTTTGCTCTTTTCAGGGCCCATGCCTCTGCCTCATGGTCAAACGGCACCACTGCAGGTTGTGCCTTGCGCAAGAAAAGCCACCCTGATGCTTCCAAGGATGCCAGCATGGTCTACGTAGCGCTCATGCTGTGCACGCGCTCAACTTGGAAGCATTGTGCTAGAAGTCCGCTGCATTGGCAGCTGTCGGCATCTTGGCCTCATCCAAGATCGTCTTCGGGACCTGTCCAGCACTGTAGATGCTGAGTATGAGCGACAGAAAAAAAGGGTCAGGTTTCAACTGCTTGGTCTGGGATCATGCCCTGCAGGGCACGAATTGTATATGGAACCCTGGGTGTCAGGGGTTTTGGAGCTGACGTCAAACTTTCATGCAGATCAATCACAAGCTTCAAGCAGGGGTCTCAGCCGTGCAGGCTTCGGAGAATGAAATTGTGACAAGGTCCCAGTCAGCACGCAGTCAGTGAAGCTCCAGACAAACAGAACTGATGCTTGCTTTTTAGTAATTCCAAGCGCCTAAACCATCTGCTGCTGCCTACACCCATCTCGCAAACTTTTGGGAAGCCATGAGACTGCAACCCTGAAGCCGCAGCTGCTTAGATGGTTATTACGATGTATGTGCCTCCCACTGGCCAAGCCCCTGGACGAAGTCTCGCAGGGCGGCAGCGTTCAGGGTGCTTCCTGGCCCAGCAGCTTCTAGAATCTGACCAGATTCCCCGGAAAAGCAGATGACATAAGACAGGCATCTCTAACGGCAACTCATTTGTTGTCCGCTCAAGCCCCAGTCTGACCCAAAAGCATGGACCTGGCACGTCTGAAAGACTCTACACTCATAGGAGGGGGCTCCGGATGTTGGGAAGTCGACCTTTCACGGAACACAGCACATTCAACAAACTATCAGGTGAGTCACCTCTCGTTGACAGTTAAAGCTTCAAAGTTGCTGTCCAGGCCTGGAGGATGAAGATTTGCCAGGCCCGTGGGCTCGGGCATTGACGTCAGCGGAGCCCTGGGCAGGTCTCCAGGCAGAAGAGCTTCAAGTGGTTCAGGGTCTGAAGACTTACAATGGATGCTTTCTTGATGCAAACGGTGGCAAGGACACATCTACCAAGGCAACGTACCTTGCTTCACCAAGGGAAAGAAATAGGCTCTTGAAGTTCTATTCGAACAGCTATTCGAACCAGAGGCTTTCAACATTGCGATTTCGGTAACGTTGCACCATGCCCGAGTAACGCCCAAGAGAAGGACAAAACATTGTGACTGTTTAACCCCCAGGAAGAATGCACAAGTCCAGCAAAAGCCTGAACATCAATTTCGAGAAAGTCTGGAAGGGTTTGTTGCCCGAGGTCCGCGCGGCTCCTCTGCGCACTCCGCTAAGGCGGGCACCAGGTGAACCTGGGCCAGGGAAAGGTGGGAAGGGGCACCTACCCAAATGGTCATTGGTAGCTTGATTGTGTCAACCATCCTACTACTTTGCAGAGAAGCCTACTACTTCATAGACTTATGATCTGGTATTGATAGTACTTCCTAAGAAACATAAACATAAAATATTTGGGAAAGGCAAAAAGACAGAAGAAAGGTTCTGAAAAAAATGACTCCAAACGGCAAAATAAAGGTAGAAAAAAAGGTGTCCAGAGAACGTTAAGAAAAGGAAATACATGAGCGCGGAGGTGAAAGCAAGGCACCCAGAAAGTTGGCAAGCAGCTAACAATCCAAAAGACGCATGAGGACCGCCGGAGCTGGCAAGGAGGAGGTGGAGCAATAGTAGTTGTTGATGTCGGTGACCCAAGAATTCGGGTCAGCAAGCTATACTTGTTGGCTATAAGATGATGGTAGGCTTTCCATTTCATTTTCCATGTTCTTTTCCATTTGATTCTCTTCTATTGGGGTGAATAAATTCCCTATTGGATTATAGTAGTTGCCATTTTCTTTTCCATTATCCCAATATAACCCCATTATAGTAGTTTCCATTTTCCTTTCCATTATCCCCAGGTTTCTTATACTGTAAGAAATCAGCCCTGGAATGCAATTTGTTGAAGTTGCAAGGGTATACATTATATAGGGTTATTTTAGCTATATAGGGATCATATTGGGATGATGGACAAGAAAATAGAAACTACTATATAAAATGGGGTTACATAGGGGTTAAATTGGAGTACTGGAAAAGAAAATGGACACTACTATAGTGTATTAGGTTACATATAGGAATTGCTCTTGAAGTGGCCGTCGCCACTGTCAGTCTTGCTGGCGTGGCGCATGGTATCACCATGACATAGAATGCATGCGGGAAGGATTTTTGGGACGAGTTTAGGAATTGGCCCGCCGGCGCTCCCCCGAACTGGCAAGTGCTCAACAGGGTTCCCGAGACACAAAAACCCGAAACATGAGGATGACTTTGCACCAAAACATGTGTCTTGAGCTTTTCCTAAGACAGCTATTCTTTTTTGTTGTTGCTTTGTAGCTTTAATGCTTCATGGTGCGGGCTGCTGTTGAAGAATTGCTGCCACCTGGCAGGAGGTAACGCAGTCTCCTGGAGAACCTCAAGACCCCTACCACACGTAGCATATCCCATGAATGTATGTGTTCAAGCAAGCTTCAGAAGGAGTCGTAATGATAGCACAATATCAAACAGGATATTGCGGAGCTCCTTTTCAGGAACCAAAAGCCGTCGAGATTAGCATTTGTCGACATAAAGCCATTCTTCATCAAAACAATCTTCAAGCGTGCAATCACACACCCAATTACTGAGATTGCGCATAAACCCTAAACCGCTGAACCCCTAAACCATGGCTTCGCTGCGCGCAGCTCCCCCCCAGGGCCAAGGCCGGAAGATTCTCCTCAAAGAGCGCCACCCACTCACGCCAGAGAGTGGGGTCCACCTTTCCAGACATACTCCATCCTGCTACTCACAAATTTCAGGGCCTCCATGAGGCACGTAACCCAATGCTTCGACCCTTCAGTGTGGGCATTATGAGATGAGTGACCAGGTCGCAGGCCTGTGCAAAGCAACCAATGTCAGCCCCACCAACTTAAACCTTAACATAGACCTGCAGAGGACCGGACATACTTGCCGTTGCCAGTATCTAAGCTGCACCACATACGCCTGTCCCTCAGGAGGGGTGAAAAACGAAGGAAACTTTCAGCATCGCAGCCTCCTCCTTATCTGTCAGCTGTTCCTCCGGCCGTGAGCTTGTGTTCAATCTCTCAGGCAAGATTGGAGGACTGAGGAAATGAAGCTTGACCTTGCACACCTCAAAGGAGAAACACTTCAAGCTTCGAGACTGAGTATAGACCGGGGTTGTAGATGAACTGATCCATGGCAGCTGAGGTCTAACAACGGACATGCTCAGCACTGCTTGACGTTGAACAATGTTGCTCTATTTACAGCAACGGACCCAACACACTCTAAGGAGCTCCTGCTCTATGTCCGCAAAGGCCATCTGCATGATGAGGTCCAAGATCCCCTCCATCTCCTTGCTGCAGGCCATGTCGCAGTGATGCGTTAGTCAACTATACCGGTACCGCAGTTCGGGAGCGCGATGCATGTTCAATGGGACGCAGCCGGCTTGCGAGGCAAAAGCCCTAATCAGTCTGACATGCGGTCAGGTACTACTGCACATTTTCTCACGAATGCAACTGACCGGCTCAAATAGAGAGCATATCAACCCTCATTTTGAGACGCACACAGACAGCAACCCTACACGAAGGAACCTCGCGCAGCTTCTCGCGTCGCTTGGCATGGCGGCCACGCCTCAATCATCAAGTTTGAGACACCCCTCTCATTGTTAAGATATTATTGTACGCAAGAGTTCCCAACCACTAAGTAGGAAGTCTCGGACTCTGGCCCACTCAATGGGTGTTCTTGGAATGGGAATCCCGGCTTAGATTGCGCAACTTACTTTCCATGAAACAATCTTGCTACTGGATTTCAGCCTGGCCAAAGAAAGCTACCAGGAAATTCTCCACTGGAGCAATTTCTGTATTTGTTGATCAGGTTGCGTCCGGAAAGAAATATGGGCTCGCTCAACACAACCGAGGCTGCTGCTCGATGGCTCGGTAGCGGACCTGTTCGCGATCCTGCTCAGGTGGAGTTTGGGCTCTCATCGCTTGCAGCTGTCCACAAAAGATGATAAGAAGACTGCAAACAACAAAACCTCATGATTTATGTCGCGTTGGCCGACAACGTCCAACAGCAGCAGCAGCAGCAGCAGCAGCAGCAGCACAGCAGAGCAGCAGCAGCAGCAGCAGCAGGAGCAGCAGCAGCAGCAGCAGCAAAGACACAAAAAGGTCAACATCAGAGACCTATGATGATAGGAGTGCAAATGATCATGATTTATGAAAACTGCTACTTCACTTGCAGAGCACTTCGTGCACGACACTGTCGCAGCAAGATTCGGATCCAGGAACTGTCCTGCAATCAACTGGGAAACCAAAGCCCCGTGGAGCCACGAGTCTCAGTGGAAAGTCGGATTGGCAACATGCCTGATCTTTCTCACTTGCCACTTGAAACGTGATTACCTTTTTTGAATACAACGATTCTGGTATCTAGTCTTGCACCACCACTACACAAGCTCCTCCTGCTCGCGCATAGTCTCCACCATCTCATCTCTGAGGTCCTGTTTCTTCCCGCAATGAACGCAATCCTATCAAGCTCCTGTCATGACTAAGAGACCGATCTGCAGCTAGTGCGAAAAACTGCCTACTGCCGTCCCTCTGGACTTCTAACCTGCACGTATGTGCCTGCTAGATCTCTGCTCCAGACCACAGACTTTCAAGCTGGAGGATCTTTGGCCAGGAGGCTCATGGACCGTCACAGGTGTGGATTCAGAGCCCCATCAACATCGCCCGTTTACGCAACAGTAACAGCCATGTTCAAAACAATTAACCCGCAAGCGCCTGGTCCCGGCGGAGCGCCTGGAGAACAAGGCATGTGCTACAAGTACTACGGGTTGAGAGTTCGGGTAATGAGTAGATTCGGGATCTAAAGTCTCAGTAGGCTTAGGAGCTTTGGTGTTGGTTTTAAGTTGCAGGTTTTGATATTGGGTTTGGAGGCTTGGAATGTAAAGTTGATAGCCGAGGGATGAGAGGGTTCGGAGCTCGTGCCCAGGCCGCTTGGGCTGAGGCTTATCGCCAGCCCAAGATCACTTTGAGTTAAAGCAATTTGGGATTGATGATCCAAAGTCTTGTTGAAATAGCGCCCAGCAGCACTGGTGGGCATGATGCGAGGCTATGCGGACAAAAGAGGAGGGAATTCTTCCAAGGAGGTCACCAGCCGCGAAAAGTACTGACACTGATGAAACTTTCCTGCTGGACAGCAGGCTGGCCGATCGATTGTGAGAGCTGACGAATGTTAGCTTATGTTGGCTTTCTCTGAGGCTGTTTTCTCACAGTCTGGAGCAAAGGGGTCGCCAGTAATTGATGCTATCCTTTGCCGTTTCTGGGAGCAGAGACTCGAGGAATGTGCCCTCTAGAGGAGTTCCCATGGCAGTGCAATCCTTGTGAGGGGCGAGCGGCAGACTCATGACTTAGGCGCAACTTTTCCTTGAAACGTACCCTAGTCTAGGTCGGTTACTAAAAAAAAGCAGATCGCAGCCGGCACGCTCGACTTTAACATCCCAACGTACCCTTGCGGACGAAGTTCGCAGAATCCCGGAGTGCACATTTGACTTCTTGCTCAGTTTTGGGCACTGTTCCACATCATGGATGTCAAACTTATTCTCACCTTCATGCCCCCACTGTATGTCACACCGCATGGCCTCCTCTTTGTCCGCCTTCTTCTGCGCTGAATACTGCTGTTGACGTGCTTGCCTGTTCCTGCAATGGTTCTTGCGTCAACAGGTGCTTATGCTGAACTTTTCACATCACGTTCTGGAATGGCATGAATGGCGTGGAGGCACCCCGCATCTGAAGGGCCGGGGAGATCCGGGGAGGTACAACCCCTTGCTCGCCTGACAACAACTTCCTCGAAGGTCTTCGCTCGCCAGCTGCGGTAGCTGATGGCACTCTCCTGGACTATGCAATGCTCTTTTTTTACCATGAAATAGGTGAGCCCCACAGAGTTGCTTTTGACATCTCCGCTAGCCGCAAGTTGAATCTGACCCTTCCACCGCATGAGCGATCACCAAAATCTTTTCGCAGAATAGGAAGCATGACCCCTCATCGGCTGCTGCATCTAAGGGCCTCCAAGGACTGCCGCCCTAACTTCTCGAGCAGCACCTGGACATTATCTTCGCACAGTTCAGCAGGCTCCCAGCTTGAAAGACTTGAATTGTAAACGCAACAGTAGCAAATGGAATGTAAGAGTCCGTCTCAGAGCCGCTAGCTCTGCAGCTTTCTGGCAAAACGTTTGTGCTGGGGCACACATGCTTGCGATGAAGGCGCAGTGGTGCCTATTGATTTTAGCCCAGGAGGTTTTACTGTCTGAGCATCATGACGGACAAGTTCAATTCGCTTCAGAATAAGTGCTCTGGCTGAAGCTCTCAGCAGGATGCGCCTGCTCTAACTGGTTCTCCTCGAGCATCTCCTTCGGAATTGAATCATCAAGTGGAGTGCTTCCTTTCACAACATCCTCTGCCATGACGTTACTTGTTGTATTGAATACAGCGTCTCTGTCGCATTTGAAGTCTCTGTACATGAGGGGATCTTGCTCGGATTAGGATCAACAAAGGAGCTTATAGTACCCTTGAGGTAAACTTATTGCCGCTTGCAAGATCATGCAGTCTGTGTATCCACAAGTGGCGTCTGACAATGTCCGTTGAACTCTACTACAACACAAGCACATGTTTCAATCAGCTTCAATAACCAGATTCGGGATAGCAAAGAAGCTTCTCTGAAACAAGCTTGTGTTAAGCAGTTCCAGCACCGAGCAATGACTGGACATCCAGTCCTCAATCACCTTTCTGCAAAAGAACCCGCGAGCAGGAGCCCCGACAATCTCACCTTTGTCTAAGCCTTCACACCCTCACCAACAAACAATAAGCATACACGCCCAGCCACAGAGGCGTGCAAACCTTCCTTGCAAGAAACAAGAGGCAGCCAGACCTGCTCACGCTGCTGCTCCACCAGGACGCGACGCCGCCGGCGTTCCCGCTCGCGCCGTGCAATGGCGCCCGCTTGCTTGGACTCCTTGAAGTACCGCGCACAGTTTACGTTAGCTGCCAGGCCATTCATTTCATGACAGACTTCTTGCTCCCGTCCCACCTGCCCATGTTGGAAATGTGCTCTCAAGATAGCGCAATACAAGTTCCAGTCACTCAGACAAAGCAGCAATGGTGTTTCTACTGGCGCGGTCAATCTGAAGTACGGTGGCTCCTTGATCTTCCGCATGAAGAGTCCAGCTTCATAGTTTAGCTCCTGTTGACTTTGCACAAGCCATGGTTGAGAGCCCCAGCTGGCAGAGTAAAGTTCTACTTGCAACCACCAGGAATAGGAAAGCAGCAGCAGCAGCAGCAGCATACGTATTGTTGAACAGGCACATCACCCGAAGATGTAGTATGCACGGCGGAATTACAATTATAACTGAGCCCCTACTACTCAGCGTGGCGGAAGAGTTCTAGACAGGCCTTAACATCAAAGTGAAGCATGAAACACACCTGGCTGGTGGGCAGCTTGGACTGGAGAGCCTCGACGAGCTCCTGCACACCATCCCCAGCAGACCCACGGAAGCAGGGCTCTATGCGAGGGGTGTGCCCTGCTAGTTGTACATTGGTGCACAAATCGGATAGATCTGACACGCCTTGGCCGTTGCGACCTTGGAGGTCTGCGACAAAAGCCTTTCCAGCAAGCGTTCAGCTGTGCCGCAAGCGACTCTTATGACATGTGGTGTTCCGGCCTCTCTCCGCTATCCTCTTGGTCGTCGTCCCTGCGCAGCCACTGAGGAAAGGCAAGGCTGTCAGGCAAACTGTATCTGTTAGTCACGGCTTTCGCCGGAGAGATCCGTACACACGCAGGGGATGCTGAAAACATGTCAAGGCAAAAAAGGCAAGTTGCAAGTTGTCACGCTCAACGCTACCCCAAGAGACCCCTGCTTGTGATTCGATCTTCCGTTCCATAAACAAGACGAAAGCTTCATGGGGTCTTCAAATCATACTGAATTCCCCCCAACGCCTTGGCCTAAGAAAACTTGTCTGCGCTGCCCCGCACATGTTCGTTCATATCTTCTTGCAGCCCTTGCAATCCAACATGGTACAACACTTGCTTAACTGGGGATGACTCAGGCAAAACGTGCTCCTTGTCCCTGCTTTCGGGCTCTCCCTGTAGCTACTATACGAGCATTGGACCGATGAGTACGCTCGTAATATCAGCAACATCAATGCAAGCATCATCATGCAGTTGCTTGTTGCTCCTATAGCCGCCCCTTTCTGCTGTGATCATCATTCTGATGTAACACCATTGCGCCTGGCGCTCGTGTTCCCGAAGCCCTAAACTCTGCTCATATTCATTCTCTGTTTGAAGAGCCTACCTGAGGCTCCAGCTCAGAACTCTCGTCCTCGGCAAGGTCTTTGATCCGCCGCGCCTGGCTATTCGGACGCGCATGTTAATCAAGGCAACCGTACATTCAGCCTCAGCAATTTAAGGATGAAGAGAAGCACGTGTTAACGAACATCTTGGACTGGACCATTCTATGCCAAGAGCCGCCGCAAGAAAACTACAAACTTCGATCGTCGCCAACGCGTCCCTGAAGCCAAAACCCTAAACCTTGGGCCACTAAAGGAGCATCTAGTCTCCAAACTAGGGAACCCAAGAAGATGCAAACCCCCCTGGCCTCCTGCGCCAAGATTCCCTGAAACACCGAGACCTTTCTGCTTTGTAAGTGTGCCTCTGCGCCCTGGGCCTTACCTGCCTGCTGATTGAAATCCCGTTTTTGACACACTTGCCCGGCTGACACCTTACTTGCTGGCTTGCGTCCAACAGAGTTGCTCGCATGAAATTAGTCTCACCTGATCGTTGAAGCCCCGTTTAAGTACAATTACAATTGCCTGTCTGACACCCCACCTGCCGGCATTTCGAGGTCATATTCCTGACACATAAGCTGGCTGCTTGCTGCAGCTTGCCTGACGTGCTTACTGTTGTCTGTCTTGTTGCTGCTGCTTCACTGTCCTTACGTGCTTGATGTTCTTGCTGCTGCTCCCTGCCGCTGTCCTGCTGTCTGCATGCCTGATTGATGATGTGCTTCCACGTGCGACCATGTGTCAGGCTTCTATCCACCCATGTGAGATGAACCAGTGAACGAAAGTAGCCCGAACCGCTGTTCCCTTACGACACGGCCTCTAACTTGCGCGAGAGACCCAGGCTGATCAAGCCAGCTTCAAAGTCCTCGCAGGCTTTGGAACGAATCAGAAATGTCATGAAGAAAGGCCAGGACTCCCTTCTGGAAGTCCTTCTACAAGAAATCCAAGCGTGTACTTGTGGCAAGAATATCAGCGCTGACAAGGAAGAATAGAAAGTACTGCGAGATACCATGATAAAGACAAACAGCATAGCTCGTTCCATGTTCTAATTCATTAGTGAGAGCGGTGCAGGACCCCAGAACTGTTTCAGTACTGGATCTGAATACAATACACGACTTCTTAGAATACAACCACGAACCATTCTGTTGGTAAATTGTGACATCCATCTTCTAAATCAGCCCAAACACGAGCTCGACATAGGAGAGGACCCTCTCTGCTAGCAAGACAGCCGAAACGGCCAAGCATGAACATACGAGAGGGATTCGATTGGAGGCGTAACCTACTTTACGGCAATCCCAGGAATTGCATACAGAATCCCTGCGCAGGATTTACACACCAAAGTGTCTGCGTGTGGGATGTGAAAGGTTAAAGGGCCCAACGACTCATCCCCCCTTCTAGCAAGAACATCATCAAGGTAGACCCTGATGAATATAATAAGGGGCCATATAGTAATATAGGGATTGAATAGGGATAATGGAAAAGAAAATGGAAACTACCATTTAGGGGTATAATATTAGGATCCCTCACACAAGCGGAGTCCTTGGTGCCCTGGAGGACCTCCGAGGTGGCGACCCCCCGCGTCTGTCGCTCCTTCTCCTCCAGAGTCTTGGACATCCACTAAACCCCAAACCGTAAAAAGCAGTTTTCATCTTCATTTTCCGTTATCCCTGTATAACTCCCCAATATAACCCCAACATACTATAGTTGTTTCCATTTTTTTCCATTCTCCCAAGATGACCCTAATATTCGCCCTATATGGCAGCATTCAACCAACTGGCCAGCCATGGCCAGCCTGCCCGGATGAGCACCCTGCCTGCTGCTTCTTGAAGACAACCTCATTGAATCGGGCTTCTGCGCCCTCCCTGGCCATGCGCACCTCCAGCTGCTGGTTGGATTGGAGGCTTCGGGTTTGATGGCCACATGCGTCGAGAGGGGTTGCCTGCGACTTGTGTTCTTTCCAGAAATCCAGGCAACGCCAAATCTTCCACATCAGAGGCCAGAACACCTGTAATTCCTGAGACTGCAATAGGTTTGAATCATTTTGCCTTCATGTTCTCCTGCCAGAGCTCGTGCCCTCGAGCTTCCCACTCGTCCTTGGCGGCCTGCGAGGGTGATGGGCTTCACAATGCAACCGTCAAAGTGTACAGCAACATTCCCACTCCTGTCCCTCGCCCCCCCCCACAAGCAAAGGAAGACGTCCAGATCTTTGAGCCCTGAAGTCCACACGGCAGATGACTGGTCCGTAAAATGAAGCCCTCAGGGGTCAAGTAAATTCGTGACATGTATTAACATGCGGAGACTGTGCGCACATTAGGTCCCGGCCCTATTCTGCCGCAGCCGCTCGCGCAGACTGAAGCGGTGGATTTGCCGCTGCTCATCCACATGTGCCTCGTTGGGTGGGTCGTGTCGTCGAAGGAGCGTCCGTCATGAGTTAGGGATTATGTCTCTGCCCCACCCGTCCGGGTTTCCCACACACCCACATGGAGATGTGATACATGCGACAAAGGTTGTTTGCTGATAGCGGCTGTGAAGGCAAAACGACGGCTAGCATAGGCTCAAGGCCATCTCAATGTTATCCATTTCGTAGGCCACGATCTCCTGCTTGTGCCTCACTTGCTCTGGGCGGAGCTTAGTGGCTCAGTAAGGCTTGGGGCCTTAGCGCTGTCTGAGCAGAGCTTTGGTCGTGCAGCCGCCAAATGAGACGACAAAATCACAACATTCGAAAGCTTCTACGCCCCAAAGTCGCAGCGTGAACTTCAAATCATGCGCATCACACGACTTTAGTTTAGACAAGCGCGGCGCTTCTCCAGCTCAAACTTCCGGGTCAACTTCTCCATGCGAGCTTGTCTGACCTGTCTCTCAAGGATTTTTGTGCGGGAGAGCATTTCTGCTCGTTCCGCTTTTTCTTGAGCATTCCTCTTGCTGCAGCCCTCGTCTGTCAGGCGTCCCTTCACCTCCCACTGCTCCCAAATTGCTCTTCATCTTACTCCTGATTGTAAACAGTACGCCTTTCAAGCCCCAAATGCAGGAAAGCCAGTCTCTCGGAAATTGCTGCAACGCCCGCAGTCTTTGTCCTAGATTGGCTCCGTTTCTGGTTGGGCTTGCGAAGGCTCTGCTGCTTGTAGCTTTTTACCAACGAATTGGAATGAGCTTGTGCCGAGAATCGGTCGGGCTTGCTGATATGCAACCCATAGCAAAGCATTGCCAACAAACAAGGGCCTTGCAATTTCAAGACATCACGTGCAAGGAAGAAATCCTTGGGAGGAGACGGGTGATGCTCAGGGGCATCGTCTAACTGTTTTGCTTTTCTGACCGGGCTGTTCCTGAACGTGCTAACCTGTGCTACATCAACTTTTGCCTTGCACATGTCACATGACCAAGAAAAAGCAGGCGAAGCCTTCGTGGAAGCTCCAGGCCATCCTGCATTGGCCTGCCGAGGAGTTGCTGTCAGCTGATGATGTCACCACAGCAATTCTTTACCATCTCCTTTCAGGGTACAGCGCAAACCCACAAGGTTCGGTTTCTTCGAGTCTCACGGCACGCATCTCCCAGCCCGATGAAACTTGGGAAGGACTGCCTGCGTCTCAAGCGACGATGCCTGGAGGGCTAGGATCGGGCGCTCACTCCTGCCCGGGTCGCAAACCTTGTCAAACCTAGCCCTTGAGAGTGATGCCCGAGACTAGAATTATCCAGGCAACACAAGACTCCAAATATCACGCTTTGCAGCATGGAAGCTTTGCGATGTGGACATTGATGCAACCAGACAAGGCCCTTGCTCATCCACCTTCTACAGGTTGCAAACAGTTGCCACGGACTCCTCTCCGATGCCATTTTCAGCTGGTAGAGGAGCCTGCTTGGCATTCTACAGCATGTTCTGAAGGATGCGGGAACTAAAAGAGATTCTCACTTTCATGCAATTCGCGAGCACCGGGTCAGAAATGCAGACGATTGTAAACAAGTTGTCCAGCTGTGTTAGGGTGATTCACACAGTATCTTGGCTCACACCTCGTTAGATCTATGCACTGGCTTTGTGTAACCATGGCTAATTGCTCTGAATGTTCTGGAATCCTTTCTGCAATAGGAACCCTCCTTAAGACATCCCCAGAGCATCTAAATGCCCTACAGCTTATCAACCTCCATCTGTAACTACAAAAGAGCTAAGCCCTCGGCCTCAGCGCTGCCCCACGCTCGCCGTTCATCACCTCAGGCAGGGGCAAAGGGGCTGATCATGATGATGACGACTAGACGACGATGATAATCACGATGAATGTTGACGAAGATGATGATGCAGCTGATTGATGACTGACATGATGGCAACAATCAGTTTGGTCTCATGGCACTATGCATTGTTGACGCAGAACTGGGCTGTTCATAGCAACAAGACATGCCAACCCCAAAGGAATTCACGACGTTGGAAGGAGCTGGCTGTGGCAAGCAAAGCTTTGTTGACTGAAGCCCTGAAGACTGAGCTGGCAGACCGCGTTGATCAGCGTAGCATTGCACTTAATGCCCAGAGCCTATGCAGGTGGCACAGAGTGACGTTGAAGCTGCTCGACATATTATTCATATGGCATCACGTGTTGACCACGACAAGGAGTATTGCACGGCGTTTCACTTCAGCCAGAAGAAGAAGCCTGAAACAGCAACGGCCGCGTGGCAGCACTGTCATGTAGCAGCGCTGGCAAGATCAAGCAGCTTTACACCTGGAACCCAACCTGCGGGATCTTGGTCAACCCTGAAGATGCTGCAGCTCGTTCAAAAATATCTCCTCCAAGCCGTGGCCAGCAGAGTGCCCAGCCTTGAGAATGGGCTCTAGCGTTTTGAAGTTGGCAATCTTCGCTTGGTGCGAATTCCTTTGCCAGGAGCTGAAGCTTCCAACATGGCACTCTGGTACCTGAAGCCATACTCAAAGCCTTCTGCACGCTGCTTTGTCAAAACGCAATTACAGGTCCGAGACACTTGTTCTGGAACTGCTCCGCATCAGCCTGACATAAGAAACGTGCTAGTTACGCACAGTCTATCAATGCATTAAAGAGGGCCACAGTAATCACAATTTTCTGTTCAAGAAACCATACAAGTCGTCTCAAAGTGTTTACTTGTGTCACAGAGAATACAAACCGACAACGCCACGGCACAGCCCTTGCAACCCAAAACACTGTGGGATAATGGACCCCTGGGCAGCGACTCGGTCTCCTTGTGGTTTTGCGAGCCTGCCAGAACTTGTGCAAGATCTCACCGAAAAGGTAGCCGGATGCGAAGTCCTTGACCAAAAAGCGTTGGGTGTGATTGTAGATGCACAGGGCTCATTAGACACAAGGTTACAATTACTTTGTAAGAGCTGTCAAGCCGTCATACGGCGAATGTGCCTCTTCCTGCGACTCGTTAGAGGGTCAGGGTGGCCTCTGCGTATAGAACCTTCTAATCTGAAATTTGTCTGAAACCTAGCGGAACAAGTCCTTCTCAAAGTTGGAGACATTTGTCGACAGGCCGACCTGCAACATATTGCAACTTCAGCTGCAAGCATCCTGGCAAATCGCTCTTCAGTGCCTCATTGGTCCGTGTTGCAAAATAAAGGCGGTCGATTGTGGTCCTTTTCTGGTGCCCGTCTTCGGCATGTATGCCAAAGGCAGTGAATACCAAAAAAAACGCGCGAGGTCTGGCAAGGTTTGCTTAACAGAACTGATGAGACCTGAATATCGATGATTCACAACTTGCAACGCCGTACTCCAAGCCGAACCGAACCTTCCGCGCCTCATTGTTCAGCCAGTTCTGAAGTAATTCTGACATCCGCAGTGGCAAGCAGCCTTGACGCACTGTCAGTCACACACAAGCTCGGGCATACAGCTGACACTAGCACCACATGACTGCAACCACACAGTGGGAAACTTGACCATGCACTGTTCTGTCCAATGTTTGCTGGCCATTACAACGCAAGTTGCCCCTCGGCCCAAAAGACCAAAATCCGGAACCACACATGCACCCTGACACCCATCAGAAATCCAAAACGCTGAGATTGTCTTCCCTGAATATGCGTGAAAGCAACTGATTGAAGTTTCGTCCTTGATAGCCAATGCAGTCCTCACCCGGAGCCCGAGGTCCAAAAAACGTGCCTTCTCGAAACAAAGTTTTACATACGCTCAAACCGGACCCAGTTCGTTGGTAGCTAACATCTTCAGCAGGCATCTGCTGTAGGCTGCCCCTGCGAAGAAAGAGAAACGTGCCCTCCAAGGCCGGCTCGATGTAAACGCCCCCTGCCGGGGCCCCCATTTGGGGGTCCTCTTCGTCTAATGGAGCCGCAAGAAATGCCGGCACAAAGGAGATCTCCAGCTGAAACATGTTTCGGAGCGTGATATGATGAGCAGAAGCATGGCAAAAAATTAGAGTTCGGTCTGAAACGAAAGTTATTGATGTCGAGGCTTCTAGAAATATAGAAGCTGCTGACTCTTCACAAACGCAAACATGAGCTTCCACAGCTTCATGCTGTACAGCATGTATCCTAAGACGAAGCGCCTGAAGTGTAGCACCGTAGCGCGTAGCAAACCCTACGACAAAGACGCGCCATGGGCAGAGAAAGGGCTGAGGCTTGCTTATGCAAATCCCTGTCTCGGCTGGATTGGTTGAGGGGCCTCACTTCAAAAGGCTGCGAACAAATAACAAGATGGTTCATCAACAGTGAGCTGACACGGTTGCCGGTAGCCATGCTAAAGCGTGTACTAGGCGAGCAACTTTTGGTGGGCAAAGCATTGAGGCGGGACTTCAATATAGAATTCCACTCATCACCTGTAAGTCTGCCATCGAGGGCCGGGCATCCGGTTTTTGCAGCTGGAAACGCCCAAAAAGTGGATATCAGGACCTGCCTTTACTGAACCTCACATCTCCCGTACAATTCAACACACCTGCCGCTCTCGAAATTGAAAAAGTAATATACTCTGGCATCTTGATGTTCTCGAAACATGCAAGATCATGCAGGAATACAGGCCTGCCTGTGTTATCTGTATTATGCGCTCATAGCACGGCCCCTTACTGTTGCTTTTCCGGTGTTATTAAGAACGCTTTAGAATTATGTCGCCTTCCTTCTTGCGATGCGAAGGCCTTATGATGGAAATTCCCATGACAATTATGGCTCCAACCCTGATCCTACGCCTAAATCCCTCAAGCCAGCGTAAGCCCACCACTTCGCATCTTTACCATCTCAACCCAAACCCTGAAGCAAAGTCACGCACTGTTTGTTTGCGACTTCGAACGAAAGACCCAGGTTCCCAGACTTTACTGGCCTGAGCCGACCACATAGCCAGCTAAACACAGTTGCGCAGGGAATCATACCGCCTGCTGTACCCAAGGCCATGTCTATCTGATTTCCATTCTTGAGTGTCCTGCCCCGGGCATGGGGACTGCTGAGTTCCAAGTTATATAAGGTTATTGCTTCCTCTCAATAGCCAGCACACACAACACGATTTATCCCGTGTTTGCACGCGCTTACACAAGCCTGTACCATAGCTTTCACAAGAGCTAACAGATTCTAATTCCAACGAGCTGTGGATGTGAGCGGCTTGGCAGATGATTGCATTCATTGCGCGCATTATGACAGGAAAAGCAGCTTCCATGTGTTCAGATTCCTGCAGCAACCCGTGAGCCTACAAAACTAGTACAGCCACTGGCACGACTTCTGCGTGTGTGTGCAGCGGAAAGGCAGCCCACAGTTACGCGCTGCCCTGTGTGTAGGGAACTACGTCAACAACCTCCAAGCCCTCACTCCGGCTCAAACGTCTCGAACGGCATCATGCCCATAGGGTTGTCCTTTGTTCGGCAACTGGGACAAGCACTGAGCATGCCAGCTGTACCTGTGCCCTGTGACGTAGAAAGTGTTACGAAACACGAAAGCCCTGCAAGGAGAACTCCTGAAGCCTTCGCCTCCGCGCATTAACACGGATTGAAGTTGCTATCCTTTCTATCCTTTCTATCCTGGTCATCAATGCGCAAAGCGTTCATGCCAAAGGTGCCTCGCTCACTGGTTGTGTTGCGCTGCAACTGGTCGTCGTGTCTTGCATCCTGGGCTTCGATTTGAGGTCAGGGCGGCTAGACCAGTGTGAGTGTGCGCTTCGGAGTGACGTGCAGAGAGCCAACAGTGTCTTACGGTTTGCAGGGGCTCACTGCCCGGGCAGTTGCCTTGAATAGCTTGCCTGAGCTATTGTTTGCAAATTGAGTCGGGATGTGGGTGTACACATCCTCCTAGAATGCGCAATTACCTTTCTTGGGACTAATTGTAGAACAATACTGCACAGAATTGCTATCAAGAATGAAAGCTGTTGCTGTATTCAGCCTAAGGGCAGCTTTCAGACCGGGGGGCTTCAGCAAGGTTCGTCCTTCAAACCCTTGAGCTTTCAGTAGGGATGACCACCCACAACGCTCCGGTTCTAGAGGTCCCTGTCCTATTTTAACATGTCATCACAGTCTCAGTAGAACAGCTCACGTCGCGAAACCGACTGCTCTGCCGGAATATTAGGTTTCACAGATGGCGGGTGGAGTTCGGGTTTCGGTTTGTCACCAATTCGGATCAGAAGGACCCCCTGCAAATCATCTATCCCGAGATCCCATGCACCTCGTCTCAGCCAGACTGGTATTTGCCGGGCGGCACTTTGATGCTTGTCTTTCCGATGATGACGGACGTCGGACCGTGCTTGGTCTGCACTTCCTCGTGCCAAGTTGACCATTACCCAATCTCGGGCCTTGACATGAAGTATAGCCACCCCTTGTGCAGCTCGATTCTCGCCATGACCTGTTCCTGAGCTAAAGGCCCGGATACTCACTACAGTATAGTACGGTCCGCGGATAACGCAACATCTGAGATCGTCAAACCGAACCTCCTCAGTTTGTTCTGCAGCGCAAAAGGCTGAGCCTTTTGGTTCAGAGCTCAACATCCTCAAAAAAGCACATCTCATGCCGCGCTGCCATTCCAACAAAAAGATGAAGCCCAAGCCCTGAACCTGAGACTGCTTGAAGATGCCGGTCCTGGGAGGCTGCGAGGCTGATGATGTACCTCATTTGGGTGGTCGCT